AACCAAGTAGGTGAACTGAGGGAGCCTATGCCAGAGAAAAATGAACACTTATGCACTTATGCAAAAATGCAATTTCACAACTACAACAGAAATGTACATTGGCTGTCTTCCATAAAGAATGCATCAGACCACAACTGAAGGCATTTTGTGATAAAATAACTATTGTTTTAAAATTAAGTTACTCATATTTTAGACTTAAATGTGGGCAAAACCCCATTGATTTCGAATGCATTGTATATCTGAAAGAACTGCATCTAATTTTGTTTACAACTTTGAATTAGATTGGCCAGTCCAAGGATGTTTCACATCAAACAGTAAGTGAACTGTAGGGTTAGTATTCCTTACATACAGATTATAAAGCTTTGAATAAATACTGCCATGAACAAAGCAATAACAAATTATTGTCTGTCTAGAAGGCTAGAAAGCATGTCTTCTGCCCCCTGTATCTTTTGTTAATTTCTCATGTCTAGCCTGGTTTGTATTGTGTTGCTATGGAGCAGCTTCAGTTCTGAAGGTTATTGTACTATACATACAGTACACTAGTTATGTTTTGATCTTTACTGTGAACTTTGGGAAGTTTAAATATGAAACAAAAATTCTTATATACAGGATTCAAATGTTCATTCATTAAATTAATTAAGTGTACTGAAGATGTTTGTGAGTTTTTTTTTCCAATTTAAAACAATTTACTACAAAACCAGATTGTTTTTGTGATGGTGGGACAGTAGATAAGTGTACCTGTTTCCATTCACACCATATAAACTCTTGTGTTAATAGTTGTTATCTAAACGGGAAGTGTGGATTTTTACTGAAGTACCATTTAAAAATCTATATATAGTATTATAACGTGCTGCCATTCATAAACTTACAAATGAAACACATGTGCTCATATTGTTATTGGCAGAAGATTGTGGGATATGGAGCCAGATGTTTTCCCTGATGTCAAGGTGAAATATACATCCAGCCCCTCAGGCCCAGTAAAACTCACTGGAGCCAATTCAGCGATTGTTAGGCTTCATCTATTCAGAGTTTACTTTTAGATGTGTTTTGACCACTGGTTAGTTTAAAAATAAAAAGATAATCTAAAAAGTACAATCTGAGAGAACTGATAAAATGCTTCAGAATTTTTCTGTGGAAAGTTAAAAAATAATTCCATGCAACCCAAACAGGGAAAAAATATTTCCACTCAAATGCTAGCTGGTTCATTTGATATCTCCAAATTGTCTTTGTGTACTTGTGTGTGGTGTGTGTTTTGCGGTGGACTAGTGTCCTGTTCAGAGTGAAGTTTTGCTTTCTGCTTGTATTTCACGTTAAGGCTACAAATTCCTACAACTGTCACCTGGAAAGAGTCACTAACTCCTGACAAATGTACAGTATATTACAAACAGTAGGGTGCTACAGTAAAGCAAACTAAGTGTTGTATAGTAGGTATGGTAAATGCTGAAGAGTGTGTGAAAATAGTATTATATAGTGTGAATATACAATTCCACGCTTTCAAACTTTCTTAAAGGTAATGTCTATATTTTCCTAAGCTTTTAAACTTACAGTACATCGCCTTTTTCATATACCTTTTTTAATTCTGTAATTATGTAAGGATTTTGTTTTCTTTGTACTTTAGATTTTGAAATAACTTGACAGATATATTCTACTATTATCTGTATCATGCAGATACAGTATGTATCAGATATTTCATGAGGATTCCTACAAAATCAGTGATTCAGGAATCTTCATCTTCAGGAATGGTACAGGAAGTATAAACTGAGAAGCCCAGAGATGGTTGGGATCTTCCTTTGTGGACATTTAAAAATATGAGTCATTTATATTCATTGCAACCAAACACTAAACCAGGTAATGGGTTTACAAAAGATTATTTCTGTATTTTTTAAAATCATTTTCTTAATTTTACATTTTTATGGTTCAACCTGAATCCCAGCTTTTTAAAGAAAAGCTGCAAAATTGGATTCATATGGTTTGTAAGACACTTCTCATGTGAAACTGATTAGGAGCTGCCTGCTTTTAGAGAGGTGGAGTGAAATATGAGTGTGGATAAGTAGAGCACTATTAATCCTGTTTTTTGTTAAACAGTTCAATTGAGTTGAAAGAAGAGTTTAATTTTCTAGTGCTGGTAAATCGCCTGAAAGTGATGTCACTTCACCTTTTCAATGTTTCAATTTCACCATTAAGGCAGTCTTTTGGCTATGTTACAGTGGCCGACAATAAGTTAGTTGCACTATATATAATGTAATGAAATAAGAAAAAAATCTTCTCAAATCTGTCCAAAAGTGTTTGTTTAAACCTGTGTTATGCTTTATTGCACAACTAAACATAAGCGCACTATTAAAGTAATCAGGAATAAGTAAAGGTTTTACAAATGTTTGAGACATTAATGTTTTTTCATTAAATGCTTTATTATAGAAATTAAGAAGAAATTGAGAGAAATACTCATATCTGAACATACTGCATAGATTCTTCACTGATGGTAACTTCTATAAGAACAGTTTTTCTTATTTATTGTATGTTCTGTATTTAACACAGAACTTAAAAGGATTTTAAAAATGATTGATAAAAACTAAAGTTTGCTAGAGAGACAAAGAAGGATAGTCTGTCTTGCACCATGCAGAGCAATGCTGATCTTCATTGACTGAAAAGTACAGATACTAATGTGAGCTCTACCCTGAATATTACTGCTGTGGAATCAGATCGTGTTTCCCATGTGGATTATATTATAAGGTCAAGAGTATTCCAAGGAGGATATGGTCCTTTGAAATAACAACTGTGTTCTATCAAGAGACAGCTTTTCTTGGTTTGTTTCTGATAAATATCTCAATGATAATTGAACTGTATATGCAGCATTTAGATATATCAAGTGATGCACTATAAATTTATTACATGCAAAAAAGCTTATAAAATAATGAAAAGAAATAGTTGAAACGTTTTGCCATTGTTCTACACAACAATAAGAGATATGGAGGTCACAAATATTTTAAAAAAGCAAACAGGGAACTTCCACAATGATAAGGTAGCGATTGACTTTAGTGGGGGTCTTTCTAACATGGCATAGTGAATTGAATTGAGACAAGTTTCTTTTGGAGATTTATAATTCTAAATCTAACATTTTTATTCTTTAAGTTTCAAAACACTGTAACACAATTACAGACAGCACAGAAAAACATATAAAATAGTAAAGAAAAAAACTTTTTTGTGAATGATTGTTCTAAACAGGGGCATTTTCTGTTCATTTTATTTCTTCTTGTACTTCAGTTTCAGTATTCATTTGATATGAATAATATGCTCATGCAGCGTCTACTGTACAGTGTCCTCCATATTGTTTTATATCCCTTATGGAATAAGAAGACAAATATCATAAAACTGGAAGATTTATCAAAAAGAATATGTGTCTTGGTTAAATAAATCTAAAACTGTATTATTTTTATTTTAATAGCAATACACAGAGAAAAGTTATATCGGTCATAATTTAAGTGCAGAAAACACAGTGGTCTCATTTATTCATAACCCTGTTGTCAATATTTTCTTAGTCCTTCTCTGTCAGGGATTACACAAACAAGATGTATCCTATACTGTGACGTGACGTTGTAACACCCCTGTCAAACCCCTTTGGTTTAAGTTCTTGTTTGGACAAACTTTGCTCTAGAGACTGAGAAGGCTAGCCATTATCAGTGCATTTAATCATTTTTGTGCTGATTTGGATGTATGTTTTGGATCATTGTCACCTTGGAATGTCTATTTTCAGCAAAGCTTGCGCGTCTTGGCAGAAGAAACCAGGTTTTGGCCAGATTGTCCTGGTACAATATGTGTAAGAGTTCATGATTCCGCCTGTCTTTACAAGGGCCCTAGGACTTGTTGATGCAAAACAACCCCCCAAAAAATAAAACTCTGCCATATTTTACAGTGATCCTGCCAAAGTTAACATAATTAGCATGTTCAAAAAGCTCAATTTTTCCTTTCATCCAACTATAAGACGTGGTTCCAGTTGTCATTCAGATGTACAAATTCCAACTGCCTCTTTTTGTGGTTCATCCTCAGATGCTTGCAACCTGGCCATGGGCCTAACCCAATTTTAGTACCACATTCATGCAGGCAACGCTGGATGGTAGTGTTCTACATTTTGCATTCTGGAGATGGTAGAGTTTGTATTGAAAATCACCAGCTTGTTGCCTTTGGTTTTATGCCACCCAAACCACTTGTGTTACAGTCTGTGGTGGCACAATACACTTGTGTCCTTTTCCTGGCTAGGTTGCCACTGTACTAGTAGCTGTACATTTCTTAATAATACAGAGGAAAGTGGTATGCTCAGTGTTTAGTGGATTATTTTATAGCCATCCTCCTGGAGGTCAGTGACCATTTGCTTGCAGTCGTCAGAGAACTCTTTGACCTTACTGTAAGTGTTTCCTGCTCTTATAACTAAGGGAAATGGGTAAACTTTACAGGCCTGTTTATAGAGCTTTCTACTGCACTTCCAAAGAACAAAATGCAGATTTCTATAACAATAATGTATAGCAGGTGGGAATAAATGTGATCCTCATGGAATTCCATTATTTTTGTCAAATAGGGTAATGCTCAGTGCAGTGCTGTGTGACATTTTTATACAAAAGAGTTGTGCTTTGATATTTCATGATTTGTGAAATTAGAAGATCACTTTTTTTAAATTTACACCTCGTTATACTTTTCAGAAACATATCTGTTGAACAATAAAATGAAAACGGAAAAACTGTGCATAATATATAGTAATTCTTATGTTTACAATATATTTTTAAATTATTATTAGTAACTTAGTCATCTGAAACGTTTTTCTTTTCAACTATAAAAAGCTAATACAGTAGTTCTAGTGTAAACATTTTGTGAAGAATGTTTTCTCCATGTTAAAGAGCAAAAGGAAAATACTGTAGTTAATCAAAATGTACATTAAACTATGAACAATTAACGCTGATATCTTTTCTAATGCTTTTGCTTTCTTGTGTTTCTGATTGTATTGTTTAAAGGGTGCAGCTATGATGGTAAGAAGCTCAACAATGGCGAGCCCTTCAGTCCTGATCAATGTACGACCTGTGTGTGTGTGGTAAGTACTGTGCTATTTCTTTCTTCACAGTCAAGGAGAGTCTAGTCAAGACCTTCTGAAATACTGCATTCAAGCACATTAGCATTGAATGAAGTCAGATAACTTTGGATCATTCCCCCTTACAGGTATATCCTTCAATAGGGGGCGGTGCGGTGGCTCTGTCGCTCAGGATCTGCGCCTGTGACTGGAAGGTTGCCGGTTCAAATCCTGCGGCCGGCAGAGGAATTCTACTCCGTTGGGCCCCTGAGCAAGGCCCTTAACCCCAACTGCCCCAGGGGCGCCGTAGAATGGCCAACCCTGCGCTCTGACCCCTAGCTTCTCTCCCTGTCTGTGTCTCCATGGAGAAAAGCTGGGGTATGTGAAAAGATGAATTCCTAATGCAAGAAATTGTATAGGGCTAATAAAGAAACATTATTATTATTATTATTAAAAGATTCTAACATTTATCTGTTTAAAAAAAACACTGTGGCATGGTGGTGCAGTGGTAACAATTGCTGCCTCACAAGGCCAGGGCCCTGTGTTCAATTCCCAAGTTGCTATCTGCATGGAGTTTGTATGTTCTCCTCTGGGTGCTCTGGTCTAGGTTAATTGGGTTCTGGTAAAATTGGCCCTGGTGTGAATGTGTCTCTGTGTGTCTGGCCTGCCTTGCCTTGCAGAGGATAGGCTTAGACTCCCCTGTGACCCAAGGGTTGGAGGTAGTGGTTAGAAAATGGATGGAGTTTACACTCGTACAAGAACTTAATTTAGCTTAGCAGCCATCTTCCCTTATAGTCTGAGCTCATTTCAGTGTATTGTACAGGTATAGTAGAAAGGCCTGCTGAAATTGCGTGTCTGTTTATAATTTCTCATTGTCATTTTTTTTCCTTAGAGGACAGTGAGAAGTAACAAAAACATAAAATAAGATGAGCAAAATGTGACTTTTTTGACTAATTGTCATGATCTTCTATTTTATTTAAAAACAACTTTTGCTATAAAAAGGTTATGCTTTGAGCAGCAGTCCTACCATATCACCTTTCTACAGAGACAGTTTATTGCCAGCAGGTGAATTTAATGGGAACCTGATGTTGTAGTAGTGAAACTAACAGAAGCTGGAAAAAAGATTGATGTTTTGCTTGAGGAGGTTCGAAAAAATCTTTTGCGACATCAAGCTCTGAATAATTGTTCATAAAATACCATGTAGGAGAAACAGATAGCAGGAACTATTGTGTACAATGGATGGATCCTAATATATTATATTATATATTATAGCTACTGTATGTATTCCCTGAGCAAGAACATATATTATGTGTTACTGTATCTCTCTCTTGTTGTTTTTGTAACCAATATTGCACAAAATATACAACACATCATAACTACTGTATATTGACTCTTCCAGGATTATTCTGTTGCAATAAAAAACATTATTACTAGATTTTGATTTATTTGATTAAGTAAAATTTTAAACAGCTTTCTAGTCTGTTTTATTTTAAAAAAGTTTTGCTAGATTAGGTTATCTTCCACTGTTAGTAAATACATGAATTTTACCTACTCAGTTCACAAGCTTATTCATTTTGCTTGATTGTCAGGTTTTCCATAAACAGGACATCCTGTCAAAGTAACGTAGGCAATAAAAAGAAAACCTTAGAATGCATTTTACTTACTTTTCATTCTTAATCTGACTGAGGTTTGTATAGACATTAAGGTTCACAGCAGTGGTTGAGTTGCTTCCTCACTTAGGTTTCATCTGCACCATAATGGATTTTTTTGGCAACAGCATGGTGTGTCTATTATAGGGGCGGAGCGTTGGCTGTGGCTGGAAGGTTGCCGGTTCAAATCCTGCAGCCGGCAGAGGTATCCTACTCCATTGGGCCCTTAACCCCAGCTGCTCCAGGGGCGTCATATAAATGGCTGACCCTGTGCTCTGACCCCTAAGAAAAATCAAATTCCTAATGCAAGAAATTGTATATGGCTAATAAAGTGATCTTATCTTATCTTAGTGAGAGGATGATTCTGGAGGCATCACTTTTATCATCTTGGAATAAAAAGCAACGCGAATTCAGCTGTCGTCTTTACAAACGGGAGAATTCTGTATGATATTTTTTTTTGTGAGAGGTTATGTGCTTTTTTTTTTTTAGAATGGGAATGTTCAGTGCCAAGAGCTCAGATGTCCTTCCCTCTCCTGTCTGAACAAGTATGTCCCTCCCGGGGAGTGTTGTCCTGTCTGCCGTCCAGGTGAATGCTTTTTATTACGCTGTACCATTCTCATAGTGTTTAACTGAAAACAATACATATGTATGGTCTTACTTTTTCTGTTATTTATTTTTTTTAGTATGCATTAGATGCATTTTTAAAGCTTTGCTGCAATTTTTTCAGCATTGAAGGAGACAATCGTGAAGTATGTTTTATTACAGTACTGTATTTACCCAGCCATTTTATACTGGCCAGCTGTGTGTTTTTCGTGTTTTGGCTCACTGCTTTAGAGCCCTACAACCTCCCACAGTGCAGAATAAGTGTAGACTGAATCCCCTGACCTGCCCCCTTCAAGCCAGTCATCTTTTAACACATCACAGGCACCACAGCCCCCTGCTGGAGGTTCAATGCCAAATGGAGATGAATCTTGTCCCTCATGTATTGTACATCACTGCAGGCCAGCAAACATCTTTAGGCCTTAGGATCACAGGGTTGCTGTGAGATCTGAAGGAGCCCTGCCAATTAATCCTACCATACTCTTGGGAGCACAAATTGTACACCGGCACTTGAGGGATCCAGGTCTCAGATAGCTTGTGATAAGACCAAGGCTCAAACTGTGCTGAGGTGACTCATGTAGCACAGATTTAAATGGCAAGAATGGTTTGGGTTGTGCATTAACAATTCAGGATATCTGTAAAAAAACGAAACACTGCAAAAAGCTGGCTCATCCCTCCTTGCTTTTAACGTATTCTTCTACAAAATCAGTCTTGTCAGTTCTTTTTTTTGGTATTTAGCAACAGTTTTGTGTAGCTAGGGAGATTAGTACATTGTGCACCTACTTAACTGTATGTATTCAAAAGTATTGTGTTCCAGAAAACTCACCATGTAGTACTAAAGTTGCTTTCATTTTTAAGTTCTCTCTCACTGGCTTAACAATAACACTGCAAGTTGTGTATACTGTACGAGACCTAATGTGCAACAGATTACACATTCATAAACATAAGTGGTCTACAATACCTATACTTGGTATCCATTTCAGAATACTCAATATGTTTGATTATAAATTAGTAGAAATAGAACAGTTCTCTTGTGTTATAGAATATAATTTATTGTGAAATAAAGTTACAAAAATAGAATGATTTTTTTTTCATCAGAGTATCACTGATGAAATACTGTGCTAAGAAAATAGGAACACTTCACTCATAAATGGAAAGTTGTGGGGTCAAATCCTACTGTTCTGATACTTTAGTTATTTTAGCATGCTATTATTGCTTAATATTTTTAATCTTGGTATATGCATGGGGCAACGAAAGTGATAGTATAAATCTGACAGCACTATACTTCCTTGATATCTAAAGCCAAGCTGGCTTGCTTGTATGGCCCAACTGTGGGAGATTAATCTTTCTGCTGTGTTTTTAGTAAAGTACAGCCAAGATTTCAGAACAAGAGCCTTGAATTTTATGTGATCCTAAACATACTCAGTGCTGTCTGCATTATGATATTTTTCAGATGGAACCTAGTTTAGACACAGTTTAGACACACACAGATCAACAAGACCAGTTAAGAACTGCTTTCATTTCATTAAGCAATGTCATAATACATAGTGAAAAAGAATAGCTGGTGTATCCAGGCGATGCAAAGTTTTTTTTAATCATAAAATTTGCTGAATGCATTTGCCATTTAATTGTGATAGCTTTGTTAAAGAAAAGCTTTTGAATTAGTGAGTTGAAAAAGAAATGGCAAGCACTGGTATTTCAATATCTGATTACTGTCTATAATGTAGCCCCATAAATAGGAGGATTAAAATCATGTTTCTGTTGAAGCGAAAATCTTATTTTATTTATTATATAAACATTTATTTACATAACACTTTCAAATGCCAAAAACTGTCAAAAGGGAATATGTTTTAGTGTCCCTTTAAATTCAGTAAATAATAATAATCATTATGGATAATACATGAAGCGATCTTTTGCTTTTCAAGGCTGCACCTATGAAGAAGAAGTGTATGAAAATGGAGATGTGTTTATATCAAGAACAAACCCCTGTATGAACTGCTCATGTATCGTAAGTCAGTTGCATTTCAATTTGTCTTATGACTCATATGATTTGCTGAATTTTCTAGGATTTCAAGAATTATATTGCACAGGAGTATATTTTCATTGTGGTAACCCTTTTTTTAAGACAGTACAAAAATTATTTGTACTATTTCTACTATTTTTGTATTTTGACCTTGTTTCCTCTTTACTAATCTATCGATAAAAAAAATATTTATAATCTCAATGATAATTCCAGCTTCACAATACTTTTTTAATTACTATTTTTTGCTTGCATCTACTAAAGATGTATCCTAGATTACAGGAAGCTAAGAAAAAGCTATTTTGAAAATGTTTTGAATTTGCGTAACAGCTAAAGACATTTATGTCAGAAATCTCCAGCAAAATTACAGCCCCGTTGGATTGTTCGCAAAGTTGATTTAATCAACATCAATCATATAGGAATTTAAAGAAAGGAAGAGAACTGTAGAATTGCTTCCTACTATATATGTTACAGATACTTTCCCTTTGCTGTTTCAGAATAGCCTGGTGAAATGTTCCCCGGTTCAGTGTCAGCCCATATCCTGCCCAGATCCTTATCAGAGGCCTGGACAGTGCTGTCCATCTTGCTCAGGTAAACAGACAATACTGCACTGTTATGTGTAAAGTTACGTTGCTTTTACAAGCATTTGAAAATTACATAGTGCTAAGTATAAAATCATGCAGTTTAAAGTCAAACACTGTGCACCTTCTTGTTTTAATTTGATTAATTTTGAGATCATATACAGTATATTAACAAAGATCCCATAGGTTGTAATAGAACTGTTTGGTATTCCTGTAAGTACTGTGCCTTGACATGCCTTGGACCCCAGGCAATGAGTAATGTAGGGTCAGTATCAACAGCATGAATTGCGGAAAACCTCCTTTAGTTCTGGAGTCTCTCCAATTGCTGTAAAGGCTGGTCAGGATTCCTGCATCCTCTATACTCATTAAACAGGGATTTGGCAGCCAAGTTCTTAATGGCAGAACAGGAGAAATGTACCTTCTAGTACGTCTTGAATATCTTAATGGCTGTTCTAGCAAACGAGGGCTGGAGCGTAATGAGACCTTCAATTATTGTTGTTTCCACACTGTTGGATCAAGGTCTCATTTTGTCAAGATATGCATGTAAGTGGAAGATGGTATGCTTCTGTTTCTCCACAATTAAAGACATTACATACAGGTGTTTTATATCTCCAGCATCTGCATCATTAGTGGTTCAGTGGTAGGATTTGCACCTGTCATACTTCGGGAGAAAAAAATGGGAAGGCTCCCGACGGAAAATTATAGCTGGGTGGGAAGCTGAAAAAATACCACTGGGCAAAATTGAAAAACTGCCAGAGCTGGTGGTGAGAGGTCTGACAAAAAAATGAGGAAGCTGTGACTGTGCTCAGAGAGAAACTGTAAATAGTAAATTGGAAAAAAATAAGACGAAGCATAAGAATATTCAAACACTACGGAGCTCAATGATGGAGCACTAGCAGCAGCAAAATGAACAGCCTAATAAAACCAGATAGTTAGACAGAATGAGAATGTGATTGGCTGCCTGATTGGTAAAATGACAGCCTGATTGACCGGCGTCATGACCTAGTTTGCACTGAATCAGCTGATGATTGAGTCTTCATGCGAATGTTGGGTTTCCCCTGGCAACCACAGGACACTCATCAGTCCCAGCCCAAGCATGACGCCTTTGAAAAATGTCTGGAGGAGATCCTTGGATCAATAAGCTACTCATTGCTAAATGGCCTCCTGTCCTTTATAACTTTTCTTATGTTTTCTGAGCATCATTAATTCTTGTATGCACAAAAAATAATAATGGTATCTAAATATTAAGACAAATTACTCACTGAATTAATACATTGACTCATAAGACATACTGTAGCCTCACATTTCTGGTCAACATCAGCTCAAAATATGCAGCCCCCAGTAAACAGTAAACAACCATAAATTTGAGAAGAACATAAGGATCACAATGCAGCATAAACCATTACAATCTGAATGTGAAGACACTTGATTTGTCATGGATGGTTATGAAGGAAGACTTGCCTTCCAGGAATCATAGACATAGGAATTCACTCAGCTAATGGAGAGGAATTTCTTAGGCATGTATACATATATCAAACAATATATAAAACAATCACTCACTGTTAAGGATGCCAAGGAGGATATGCTAAGTTTCAGTTTAAAGTGTGTGGATCCTTTTGGTCATAGACAACTTCAAAGTTTTTGCAGGGGGGGTTATCATAAAATGTGTTACTCAGTGTGTGGAGGACACTCTGGAACTGCTGAGATAAGTGCTTTCAATTTTTTTTTTATTCAGAGTTTTTGGAACTGGGTAACGTGGAATCATGCCATGTTTTACACTTTGATTAGCATATAACTGGGATATGTATGTACAGTATTCACAAGATCCGATTGATTCTAAGATAAGACTTTTAAGATGCAAAGCTTAAAGTTTTGAAGTAACTTCACAAAATCTGGGGCCAGTCTGAACTATTGTAAACAACCTTTTTTTGCAGCTTGTGATCTGGATGGGAGACCAAACAACAATGAGCAGTCTTTCACCACACTTGATGGCTGTCAAAAGTGCACCTGCAAAGTAGGTTTTCAAGACAGTGAGACCTTTACTTTTTCTGTGTGTGTTTGAAGTGCCTTTTCTTTCTGAAGATTTTTTTCTTACTGAAAAGATTATTAAGAGATGTTAATGATAATACAAGAGCAAGAATTTGTTTAAGCATCAATTACTGTTGTTCTTGTTTTTGCAGGCCATTGATGTTTTCTGAGCAGCTGGACTGTATTCCCTTAGCAGTGATTTAAATTGTGCTTTCTTTGCATGCATAATGTAAGGAGGGTTCCTGCTACATAAGGAAAAAAAAACAGATTTCCTGCTCTTTGTGTCATTGCCTATAGATTTACAGTAGGGTCTTGACTTCTGAGAAATTAACATTCACAAATTTGGCCGACGTGGTTTCAGATGGAAGAAGAGCAGTCCGGGATTAAACTGAGCCGAAGGTTGTTATGAGCAACTTTCAAGTTAGCCGCCCAACATACTAGGATCGTGAGATAAATCTAGCTAGTGAGTGAGCCTGTCTCGGCTGTGTTCCCATATACCCACCGCCCAGCATCCACAGCTCAGTGTGTTGTAATGAACGCTCCCAGTTCTGTATCGCCACTGTAGAGGATGACAGGCTGTAGGTGACTTACTGACAGTTTTATTGCCCTTATCATTGAAGTGGGGCATGCTTAACATGGAGCAAGGAAATTGCTGGGAAGGCAGAAAGAGATGTGGAATGGTTGCTTATGTTTTTTTAACAATATACTATATAGTGTAGTGCCTTATGCAATGGTATAGGATGGACTTGGTTATATGCAAATTTGGATATTCGCAAAGGTTCTCTGCACCAACCTTTTGCGAATTTTAAGCACCTTGGGGCAACCTTGTTGTGAAAGGCGGCATATAAAAATACATTGTCTCGAATGTTAAGACCCTACTGTATTTACGAGTTTGAGGTCAATATCAAGCGAATTTTCGAAAAAACTGCTTGCATAAACATGGCTGAATATACATTTAAGTAGATTGTATCTATTAACTATTTGTACAAAATGTAGCTTTTCTTTTAGTGCAGCTAAATGGAATGAATACTTTCTATGTATTTGTGTTTTGGGAGGTACATTAGGTCATTTTTTTTCATTTTAAACACCAAGATTTGAAATTTGGTATTTGTTCATTCAAAATACAATTGCAGTATGCCATTTCAATGTGTAAACAACACAGCAGAGAATGCATAATTTCTGTTTGTTCTATATGTTATCAAATGTTCTATTTGACTTTTTTCCAGAACAGGGAGCTGTCCTGCATTGATACTCAGCATTGTCCTCAGTCCTGTACACATGGGGTTAAACCTTCTTATGGCCTTTGCTGCAGAGATTGTTCTAAATGTGATTTCGAAGGGCAGGTCATTCACAATGGTGTGTCTTTTGCACCCAATGGAGATGCATGCCAACACTGCGTTTGCAGGGTACGTTAAGTTACTTTAGCACCATTTTTTCAAAAGCTGCATTTACCCGTTTTCAGTGTAGAGGTATGAATATTTTCTGAGAAATTGTTTAATTCATTTATGTAAATCATTAGAAACAAAAGGTTTCTAATTTTGTTGTCTGGACATTATGTACGATTGTTTTTTCAATCAACTGTAGGAGCTCAGTTTCAGCTACAGCAGCTTATTAATTTTCTGTCTTAAGAAAAAACATGTGAAGCACATTAATAAAGTAATGTGCTTAATAAAGTAACCTCAGACTCTTGTAATAATTGACCTATTCAGAAAATTGCATCTATTAAGATCATAAGTGTTTTTACACATTATTAGAGAATTATGTTGGATCCATTTGTTGGATTTGTAGACAAGTATTTCAGAGGCATGTTTTTTTAAAACAAACTGATTCTCAATAGAATCAATAGTGTAAATAAAAAGTGTTTGAGGTTGAAGTTTTTAGTAAAATTTAAATAAAAATCACTCTGATTTATAAATTTAAAATGAACAGGCAATTGAGCTGCAACAATTATTTGAACTAAAGAATTCACTGCCATAAAATATTTTTTTTATAACTGGAGTGTTGTGCAGCATACAGTAGGCTTAAAAAAACAATGCACAAATACAGTCATAAGGTAAAAACAATAACGCTCTTTATTCGTGCATCTCTTGGGCTCTAGCTAGACTTCTTTGACTGCCCCTTTCTATAAATAGCCAGGCAGATAAGCTGTTTACTTACTCCAAAATCCAAAATGCTTCCCTAAACTCAGACTTCAATGGAAACTCAAAAGTCCCAAGCAACATGGTCCCACGGTGTATCAGGTAGACATCAGCTACAGATCAACAGCTGGAAGCCTCTGCTTCCCGGTTTTTAACTGTCACCTGAATCGCTGTCTTCCATCAGTTGGTCAAGGCACAGAGGATGACAGGTCATTCTCCACAGCCTGCTGGGAAATGTGGTCGTATGAACCTGCCACCCTCTTACAAACTTTTACAAATGATTTCCTCGCTGATCTTTGGCAGAAATTAATAGGATGTCTCATACAGATACTAATCACAGGTATAAAGACAGTTTATACACACAGGGTTTATGGGCTTCCTCCTTTCTCCAAGTGTAAGCATTGACTTATTAAGTGGCTTATGTACAGGTTGCATATGAGTAATCCAATTAAGTCTGCCTGAAAAATGAAATGAGATCATTTAAAATCATGCCTCATATTCCCTTGCAATGCTTTGTATAGCATAGTTTGGTGTTAAAACAATACCACTTTGTTATCTGAAGAGATGGCACCAGTTTTGCCTGCTTTCTGAAAGCTATGATGCAAATAACTCGCTTAATAAAAAATCTTTTGAAGCTATAGTAACTAAAAAACAAATTAAAAGCCTTTTGAGGACAGTTGAACTCTTCAGTTTAGAAACATGTCCATTTATGCTTAGCCTGTTTTATTTTACAGCAAAGCTGACAGGACCTTTTATATGCAAAACAAAAGTTAAAAAAAATATGCAGTTTTTAAGATTGTCTTTGTTTTTGAGTGGAAAGTATAAAGTAGGTAGATTGGCAGTGGGACGCCCAATATAAAAGAGGGAACTGGCATTAGCACAGTCTTTCTGAGCAAACTGGGGTAAAAGCAGAGCTTTTGTTTTTTTTTCTTCACTTTTGAACAGAATGGGAATGTGCTCTGCTCAAGAGTCTCCTGCCCAGCTCTTGACTGCACTGTTCCTGAGACTGTGCCAGGTGAATGCTGCCCTAAATGCAGAGGTACAGTAAGTTTTAAGTTACAAGATATCAGGATGTACTGTAGTTTATATCAGAACTGTTGTATTAGCTGGTGGGCAAAGCTCCAAATTCATAAAGCCTCAATTACTACGTTTATCCATGATGTTGAATTGCTGAATGTTCAGATACCATCTTAGTGCTACTGCTGCTCTTTTGAGTTACACAAAATAATTATTTCTTTTATCTCAAAACATTTCTGCACATTTTATGTTTTGTTGCTTTTTATTGATAAAATATGTATTGTGATATATTGTATGTATACTGTATGTATATTTGAGGAATATGTCTGTAGTGAACAACTAAACTCACCATAGACTGAGTCTCAAATGTGATATTTGGTGTAACAATTGGCCTTGGATAAGCTGCATAAAAGCAGTCATAGATTACTACAGTACATACAGGATGTATTCAGCACTTGATACATTCTGTTGCAAATTTCTTTTAATGAATTCATAATAGAATACTTTTTTATATCATCAAATGGCATTCTATCCAATTAAAATATCAATCAAACTGTGAAGTGCTACGTAAATCTTCAGTTAATTTTAAGTTGTTTTACCGATCAGCAAATTATGCATTATTTTTATTATTGTTATTTTGATCTCAGTATTCAGATGTATGATGTGAGAGTATTTTCTAACCCAAATTAAAATAACCTACGCGGTAAAGCTGTTGTTTCTTATGACCTTTAATTTTGACAATTCAAATAAAGTAAGTCGATTAAAAATGAAATTATTTGGAGTTCTTTTGAATTGAGTAATTGTTGGCATTTGATCTTTTGATGAAAACGTGGCCTTTTCTGTTTGAAAGGCTGCATACATTATGGAATCCATTACGAACATCAGTCAAAGTGGAGACTGCCAGACAACCCTTGTACAATTTGCACATGCGTGGTAAGAAAGGTTTTTAATTTGAATAATTTTCTTGGCAGCAAGATAAACTCCGAAAGTTTACATACAGTGTTCAATGACATTTTTGGACTGAGGAACGTTCAAAATGTAATTGTGTAAAGCCCATCATCTTAGCATTTAACCATTCTTCATGTAAATAATTAGTAACTCTAACTACTCTTTCATCGTCATGTTTCTTGTATTACTTCAAAGAGCTTCTCAAACTGTTTCCTTGGGAAGGCAAATAATTTGCATGAAGTTTATTTTAAATTAATTTTAGAAGATTCTATTTCCTTTTCTGGTTATTTTCCTGTACTGTGACAGGGGGGAGAAGTTGTGTGTGAAAAGGAGAAGTGCACCATCTCATGCAGAAATCCTCCTGAGCCCAGACCAGGTTCTTGCTGTCCTGTCTGTGATGGTGAGTATCAGAGACTTTTAGAGTCATTTAGAATTTTACTACAAGACCTTTCTCATATGTGTCGTCAAGTCATGCAACCAAGGTTTAAAAACATATTTACTCAACGGGAAATTTCCTTCTGAATATTGTGATTGAGCTTGTTTCCAAAAGGTAGGCATGTAGTGTTATCTGTTTATTCCACAAAATAATGTTATATTCTAGGCTGCAAGATCAATGGACAGGAGTACCTGAATGGAGACATTGTACCAGCTGGAGACCGTTGTGCAGATTGCGTCTGTGTAGTAAGTGACTCAATAATTTCTAAAATAACTGGTAATTGTAATTCAATGTTTTTTTTTCACGTAATAACAGAAAAATGTGACAGGGTGGCACGATGGTACAATGGTTAGCATTGCTGGGATCCTGGATTCAATTGTGGGGTGCTATCTGCTTGGAATTTACATATTTCCCCTATGTTCATGTGGGTTTCATTTGGGTGCTTCGGTTTCCTCCTACAGTCCAGAGACATCCTTGCAGGTTATATGGCTTCTGGAAAAACTGATTTTTGTTTGAGTGTACAGTATGTGTGTCTGTGTGTGCTCTGCCATGGATTGGCTTCCCATCCAGGGTGTATGCCACTGACTTCCTCACTGCCCTGTGTTGGAAGTGGTTAGAAAATGGATGGCTGGAAAAACATAATAAAGGTTACAAATTTGAAGGAGATTGTTCAGCCCACTAAGCTTGTTTGATTTGGCAACAAGGATGGGAGGCTTGGTCCAAACTCCCACAACTCCCACAAAAAGGAGTTTCCTAAAAAAGATATTCCTGTTCTTGAATCAGGCTGGAGAATAATGGCCAGATACTTTCCTGGGCTTAGAGAAATGTAATGTTGTTCAATAATTTATCAAAATAGCTGACTCTTTTTAGACATGAACAGAGAATAAAGGATCTGACTCAAGTCAACATAGTGGACTTCAGAATAAACAGTGAACGGCAACCAGACACCAATGAATGCTGCAATGACGTGTATTCAAAACTGAGCACGGGGAACAATTTTTATACAAAGGCCTGTGAGAATCTGGGACAAGCTACACAGCCATGTTGTTCAAGCTGACACCCTGGTTTCTTTCAAAAATTAGTTGAATGAGTGTTTATGGTGAATTTTTAAAAACCCTGTCCCCTTTCTTTTGGCACAGAATGGTGATGCTCATTGTAACCCTATCCCATGTCCTGAGACGCCATGCAGAAATGCTGTACAGAGGCCAGGGGAATGTTGTCCACGGTAAGTGTCCAGGGACACTGTACAAAAATCAAGGTCCTGACTACTTGGTCATTACATATCCTTTGAATAAATGGTTAAACACTAACTTAAAAGTGCTCAGTGCAGGATCCTGGCTAGTTACGCCTTTCTAATTTGATTAGCAACGAACCTTCTCTCTTATCTCCCAGATCTGTTAATAGCAGTGTACTGGGTGCAGCACTTTGGTGGTAAATGAAGTGGGTCACCTTCTATAAGCAAAGCAATTGAGTTTTTTTTTTAACACAAGGCTACATTAAGGTCATGAATTATTGTTGATATTCTTAATTTATCAATATTCGTATTCCCCTACATTTGACAGTTGTAATTCAAATTAATTTCTATAAATTTAAGTACGCTGCAATTTAGTATTTTGCACTGTAGTTGAGGTATAAAATAAATCTTAATTGTACAGTCGGCACAGATTATATTTGATTAATGTTATTACCCTTTATCTGCTGAGCTCATATATTGTTGGCCTTGCTTTTTGCAGCTGTGAGGAGTGTGAATATGAATCTCAGACTTTTGTAGATGGACAAGAATTCATTTCAACTCTTAACCCCTGCTTGAGATGCAGGTGTTTGGTAAGTCATAGAAGTGGTTTTTGAACATGTGAGGAATAATCGGTGTTAATATACATTGTGTTATAAGATTATGCAGAGATGTATTGCTGACTTCCATATTCTGAACCATTCGTACTCCTTTATTTTGTTCCAGAAACATAACAAAACAATGTAACATTTCCCTCACCCCAAAATTAACCCCCATCAGTGGTACTGTATCTTCATTTACTTTTCTTACCAAAGGACCCTTAAAATAAAGTCAGACAGCTACAATAGATGTGCAATAAGAATTTGACTTTTTCAGCAGCTGTACTCCCAGCCTCCGCTGTTCCCAACCTAAACCCTGCTACCTCAGGACCCTGTATTGGATAAAGCGGTTAGAAAATGAATCTTACTTTTGCTAAGTGAGAATTGAGATGTGTTGAATCAGTGGCACTTAATCCACCATGACTCAAAATTAAAACACTCTTGCAATACAGTCAAATAAAGTGCCATTGGTATTGGTTAATAAGCACCAGAAATATGCTACTATTCCAAATACAAAATAAAATGTTAAAAATAGCTCTTTATGTGCTCCTTGTCATTAAAGAATCACTGCAGCACAAACAGCTACCATAAGCTGGTGTAACAACTGAACAATACTATTTTGTCAGAAAACAGGCATCAAATCATAAAAAATTGTGGACATAATATTTGTGGAAAAGACAAATTTCTGTAGATAGAAAGTTCACTGTGGTTACATTTATTCTGAATTGCTGAAGAACCTTTGTCTGAAATGGCATAACACTATATTGTTACATTTTTAATTGTTTAAACCTTCCATACCACAGTACATTTCTTTTCTTGTTCATTTTTAAAGAATACATTTTGATCACTGCTTGTCTGCTTGCATATAAACTGGGCAAAAAGTAAATGTTGATGTTGGTTTTTGCTTTGGACCGAATTATTTCAGCTGATCTAACTTTCTTGGCTTTCTTCAGCAGCTGTTTATTCTCTGCTGATGGTAGTATTGTAACATTAAAAGAAACAGAGATGCTTTTTCTTTTTTGGTTAATTATTGTGTGCTTCGCTGTGGAGTCAAAAAGTATACAGTATGTAGAGTACATAGTGTATACTGTACATACAGTACGTCTATATTGTATGTTCTTTATTTACAGGCTGGTAAAGTGTCATGTGAGCGCTTGGACTTGAATTGCGCTCCTGTTCGATGCAGTCATCCAGCCAAACCTAGGGGACAATGTTGCCCTACCTGTGACAGTAAGTACAGTAGCTAGAATTAAAATGTGGTACAATAAAGTCCAATTTAAGAACAAAGATGATTTGATACTACAGTACCCTACCAAATACTATAGAATGGTATCCTGTTCTAAGTAGTGGGAATCTCTCAGTGTTTAATTTATCCTATGGTTCCTGAGAACTGTAAAGCAGTAGCAGACCATTCCTTTTCTTGAGTAGGCTGTGCTATGATAAAGAAACTTGATTACAGTACAAAACTTCACAAGAGGAATGAATATTGGTACATTTGTCTTTCGTGCATGATGACAAAAGCAGACCCAGTTGGTCTTTCAGTTTGCACAGCTTTGAGGTTTTATAGGCAGATAAAAAAAAAACATATATAAAGAATTGTAGTTCAGGCTGAAAGGAGCATCTCACCTATTCACATCTCATACATTGCTGTATCAGGTGACCCTGGCTTGGTGGTCAATCTGTTGAAAATCTGGTGGAATTGGTACTAGAGGTGTACTGACTTGCTGTTATGGGCTATTCTGTAATTTCTAGTTAGGACAGTATACTGTATAATTCAATGATATGGCCATTGATTACAATCATGAATTATCAACAATTTTTTGTTGAGTAACCTTTGCACTGTTTGTTGTGCGATAAATTCTACACTTTGAAGAGACTGTGTGGAGGCTGGAATACTGTATCTTTGCACTTGGTTGTAATAAATTGCAGAGAATTGAAAATTGGAAAGAAGTGTGTCTAGGTTACTACAGTATATTGCTAGTGCAAAAAGTGCGACAGTGTGGTCAGATGTTTTCACCACTTCAGAATTTGCTTAATTAGATGCCAGTTTTGTATTTTATTGTTTTAATTTATTTCATTTTGTGTAAATAAAACTTTATTTTCAGTAAGCGTATTTATTCTGTAATATTTATTATTCCCTATTACACTCTTATGTTTCAGTCTGTTAACTGAATATAATGTAATAAAATAATGATAAGAGATGGCTTGTCAAGTGTAAAGGTCAATATAGAGATATCCTATAGTGTATTGAGAAGTTGTTAGTCAGATAATGACTATTCCCAATACCTTACTGTAAATATCAGTCTACTGTCCATAACTATGTCTGTACTAAATAACTATGTATTGTACTTCAGTCTTACAAAGAAATTCAATATCTTATTATTGATATTATTGCTCTTAAATCATATACAGTATTAAGTATAGAAATGACTTGCCTTTCTCTGTAGATACCTCTGGGCACTTCTGTAACTCCTTGCTATATGAATTACATATGAATATTATTTAGAAAACAAACAATATTTTGTTCAGTTTTCACGTAGGAAATATTAATAGAAAGATTTTTTCAATAGAATATAAAATTACACCATACCATAAATGTTCTCATATTGTAAGTTTGTAACTCCTTAGGTTTAAACAATGTTTTTCAAAGATAAAGAAACCTACCAGCACAACTAAAGAAGCTTAAGCTTTTCTTATGTTTATTGAGAAAGCAGGAAAGATTGAACTGATAACCACTAAGCCTGAGGAAATCCGAGGCAAATAGCTTTCATCTTCTTTCATTTCAGTGACTCATCTTTGGTTCATTTTTATTGGCCTTCTCAAAAGCATGGTGGTGTCATTTGTTTTCATGAGACACAAAAGGAAATCATGCTACACAAAGTATTCTATTTAAAAAAAACAGTCTCAATCATATAAAGATGTTGGAACCATATAGCCTGCAGAAAGGGGCTGTTACTTATTACTCTTAGTGATTGTTTTTTTTTTTGTGCTAAATTCCGTTCTCTAATATTTTGAAAGATGATGTTACTGTGGGTTACAGAGGAGTCTGAATTCCATTTGTGGACTATGCCTTTAAGAGGTAACCATCAGTAGGAGACTGAAGGCAGACAGGAAGACCTGAAATCAATGTGTGTGGTTTATGATCACATTTCTCAGAATATTTTTGTTGTTAAATTTATTTCTCTTTAATCTTTAGTATGTTTCAATTATAGATAAAAAATGAACTTCTCACTAGTTCTAGATGATTCAATTAAGCACATGGACTATTTTTCAGCTTTAATCTGAAATATGAATATTGAATGATTTCTGCCATACATGTTTTTTTGTTAATTTACTAAGAACAATTCCATTTGTTTTGGAAAATTACAGCACTATGTTTTACATGATCCATTTGCCTCCTCTTGAATGTAAAACCTCAACATAAAACATACTGATACTCTGTATTTGGAGAAGGATGATTAATTTCTGTCAGTCTCTATAATTACTAGCATCCACAATGTATTAGAAAAAAGAATAAAATTTAAAAAAGAATTTAAAATCACAACAGAAAAAAAAGTAATACAGTAAAATGAACCTCAACCAAGAATACAACAAATTTAGAAACTACAAACAACAATAAAAAGATACGATTTAAAATGATTCTTATGATTCTCCACAATCACAGAGTGTATAATAGGTTTGGGCAATGGGTTCCACATATCAGAACTGCACAAGAGAAAACTTTATCATCCATTGTTTAGATTCTGGTCTTACGTAGAATAAGTAGACCCGAATCAATAGATCTCTGATTAACTATATACGTGCAATTATTCCTAAAGTTAACCTGGATCAAGACTATTCAGAGTTTTCCACTATGAATTTAACAGAGAGCCAATGCAATTTGACTTTATGTTTAGGCACAAATCTTTAAGTTAACACATGAACTGCAGGAATGTGTACATATTCAAACATAGTTAGTACTTTACATACCACAATAAGGTGCTGCAGTTGTCTAATCTCAATCAGAAACTCATTCATCAATTTTTCAGCATTTGATAAGCAATGTAAAGCAATGCTGTACAGGTGGAAAATACACATGTGATGTTAATTATATTGCTTAGAATGACACACAGGACCAAAAATATTCCTGCATCTACTGTATATTGTTGCATCTGTATTGTAGTAGTGTCTCTATCTCGTTTCAGTGTGTGAGTATGAGAGGAGGTTGTATCACACTGGGAAGGTTTTCACTCCTCCAGGAAGTATCCCGTGCCTGAAGTGTACCTGCACTGTGAGTATACACATGTTCATGACTGGTCGCTTCAGGAGGTACAACACTTTGCATTGTAATTACTATGAGTAATTGTGGAAGTGGACTGCTTTAAAATAATTTCAGAGACATAAACAGTGCCAGATTTCCCATTTGTCACTGTAGGCACAGTGCCTAGGGCCTACAAAATGTTTAGGGCCTACAAAGGAGGGAAACACTAGTGACTAAGAAAAAACAAGCTGAAATATCCCTGCAATCGACTCTTGTTGCTGCAAATCAATAATCATACGCCGTCTTGTGGCTGTTCTAGAAATTAGACGTGATGGTTGTTCGACTCGCTCCATCAATCACATGATTTAGCATTAGAATAGTTTAAAGTGCATTATGTCAATCAACGTAATTTACTTGGCATTTACCCACCATTTTGCACATTTCGAGTGAAAGTGCCCGGGCCTACGAACACCAAAATCTGGCACTGGGCATAAAACGGAAATTCTAGATGTTTTATGCACAAATGATTAATGGTGCAGTGATTCATTTTTGTGAGGCAGGGGGTTTCAAAAGGTACAATATGATCTGCTTGTTATAGACATTTTTCTATTTCAGAGAGGGGATGTGCGATGCCATCAGGAGACCTGCCCACCAGCAAAGTGTTCAAACCCAATAATTGACCCTCAGCAATGCTGCCCAATTTGCAAAGGTATATTATACTGTAAAACTTTAAAATGTTTTTGTTTTATGGAGTAGAGATTTCTGATTGGGTTTCAAAATGATGTGTCAGTGACTGGTTGTAAAATGATTTATTTTGCAGTGTTTACATTTTTAGGTGTTATACTGACCTACATTATATTTATTTTATTCTGTGAGAAGTGACATTAAGTGGTATTTATGGTTTTGACCATCTTGTGTGATAAAATAAAAGTGAAGTAATAACCCACTTGATGAACACAGACCTTATTTGAGAATACGACTCCAGCTTTTATAGATCACTATTTACATAGTTTGAGGAATAATCTTTTGAGGTAGGAATTTGCCATACAGTACTAATCAATATCTTGAATATCTAGCCATGAGCACAGTTGTAAATTGATCTTACACACAGTCAGAACAGAAGCAGCTGAGTGGCTGAACTCTAAGCATACATCACCTTGCTAAAATCATGCTTCGAACCACAGGCAGGTATAGGATTACAGTAGTCACTACCAGATGAGAGAATGATAAAAACCACGTTCTTCAAAGCATGCTTGAAAAGAAAGTACTATGCTCTGGCAATATTGTATAAATTCAGCATCTCAGCATGAGGACTATGGATCAGTTTTTCACTTAAAGCTTGTCAGTTCTACTTTGTAACATAGTAGAACAATGTCACCTACTGTGTTGTGTTAAATCTATTATGAATGCCTGCTTTATTCAATTACTGTATATTATGGTTCATATATTAATGCTTAAAACCCTACTGAAAAGTTTGCTGTTGAAGATCCGAGTCAAAATAGGAAGGCATGAAAGACTGGAAGAGAATTACTTTCAAGACACAAAAGAAAAAGGTTCTCTGTGCTACATATTAACTATATTCTGACTTAACACTTGAGTCCTTTTACTGATCGGGTACAGTACTATTGACATACAGTTGGAAAGAGAAGACCAAACTAGCACATCTTGATGGCCCTTTACCTATACTGTATCTTTCCCAGGAAATTTTGAATTTTCCTTAGCTTCCTTTAATTTACAATACTTAAAACTTTGTATTGTAATTTTATAAAGATAAGGTACAGTGTATTTAATATTTTACAGTGTATTTAATATTGTCTTAATTGCCAGGATCGACAGCAGTCTCAATACTGTTACTGATTATGCCGTACATACAGTATACTGTATGCTTCTATTAATTATTTATCTGAATTCCTTGGCATGTTATGTATTAAGAACTTTGTTTTCCACAGCAGTTATTATCTGCATATCATTGCTAGCCATGACATCTGTTTATTAATATCTAATTGATATTATATTAGAGTTAACAATATTCTACCATTTCTGTCCTATTTTTTTACTTGGCTTGAACGTTGGGCAATAGTTTTCAGAAATCCCCCATTTAAAGTAATGTAAGAACATAAGACCAACAAAGAATAGCCTTATAAATAGTTCTTACTTTAATGTTGTGTCTCATTTTGGGCTGGTTTTCACTGCATCTGAATTAAAAACCACAGGCTTTCTACTTTGAAAGGCAAAGTCTTTCATGTTCTCAATGTTTAGTTTTTGTCATTCGTTGCCCTTTAAAATCTTTCTTTGGCCAATTCTCTTTCTCTGTTAAAAAAGCAAGGGGACCTGCATCTATTCGGCTTCTTAAATGCTGTGCATTTTGCCTTAAGCATGGTTTACATGTGACACTGATCACTCATTTTAGTCCTTCAATATACTGACTCACACATGTGAATGTTGCTGTGTTTTTTGCACCAGACTGTGATCAAGACATCATGAAAATATTCTTTTCAACAGAATGGAGGTGTACATAACCTACAGACAGTGTAAAATAAGGGTTAATAATTATAGTTAGTAGATCCAGTGAAGACACAAAGTATGTTTCTTGCCTTTTAAAGGGAGGTATGTGAATAACAAAAATGCAGAACACCAGAAAGGCAGAATAGTGTGATGAATCGGTCTGATTCCAGTTTCTGTTTGATGTCTCGCTTGTCCAGTCTGTGTGCAGGAGGGAGTGGAGTTTGAGGAGGGGACCGAATGGGAGCCAGACGACAATCCTTGCAGCAGCTGTACCTGTATTAATGGGGATTCATTATGCCAGGTGTCACAATGTCATCCCGTCTCTTGCTCACACCCCACCAAAGTTCAAGGTGAGTTGTGAATCAAAGAGCTCCTCCCCACAATGTGGCCTTTTTGTGTAGTTTGGATTCTACAAGCTGAGGTAAATTCTTTGGGTTTTCCTTTTTAGGAGATTGCTGTGCCACATGTGACCAGTGTACATACAATCAGCGGATATACAACAATGGACAAGACTTCATTGACCCAGACAACCCTTGTCAGAACTGCAGGTGTCAGGTGAGGGGCACTAAAGCATTCTCAAAAATATGAGCCTTTTAAGTTTTTTTTCTGTTCTGACATAATTCACCTATCCATTTTCTATCTACTTTATCAAGAATCGGGTTGCGGGGAAGCCCTGGCAAGCTGTTCTCATATAAACTTAACAAAAACTTTTGAGTTCTGATTGAATACATTGATACTCATTTAACAAAAACATTAGAACTACATTTTACATTAATGCATTATACTATGTAACTATATTATTTTTCTGAAGTCTCAATTTCAGCCTCAAGTATTGTAGTATTTTGATTTGGCTCCCTCTAGTGGATTGTAGTAGTGATTGTTTTACTGTTCACTGTGCCCTGCCACAACACTGCCACATCACCTTTGCTGTGACCTTTAAGCAAAGGCCATTGCCAGATCTAAACATGGAAAAGACTCCCAGATTTCCATCCAGCTACTGCCCAATTTCTTTCCTGTTTGTCCCCTACAAAAATCTTGAGCTCCTCATTCTCTAAGGCGTAACACCAGGTGTGAAGTCCTCAGTGTTGACGAGGCTGTTCCACACCTCAGCACAGCAGAATAGGTACTAGCCCTCAATGAAAATGTTTTTTCAGAAGACCCTGCAGACAGACGCTGTGTTCCTTGACTTCACAGCAACCTCTGGCACTGTCTGTCACTCCAGTCTTCTATTGAAGCTGTTGTAGGCCTCCCCCCCACCGGATACCCCAAATAATCCAAACACTGCTGAGCAACGGACAAGTCTTAGTTCATATTCAACAGGAAGCATGTACATGAGAATGACAGACAAATAGATTCACTCAGGGATCAGTATTTACTCCCAACCCGTTTAAGATGTACATAAATGACCTCAACAAAAAACACATCATGAAAGATTAGATATGTTGATGACATCTGTCTGGCAACACAATCCTCCAATTTTGACCAGATCCTAAATAATGAGAACATATGACAACTTGAGCAATACGGCAACACATGGCAACTCAAACCAAGCCCTGCAAAAACCGTATCCAGTCTATTCCACCTCCACAGTACAAAAGCTACAAAAAAGTTCAAAATTCAGATGAACAATTTGAAATTGCAGCACTGCCTTATTCTGACATACCTTGGAGTGATCCTAGACAAGACGCTTACCTTCCCGGAGCACTTAAAGACAAAAGCAGCCAAGGTCTGAACAAGGAACAATATCTGAACTTTCTGATCCAACCAGGAGCTGCCACTTCCACCCTCCGAACCTCAGCCCTTGTATCGTCTTTCTCAACAGCATAATACTGTGCCCCCCTCTCTGGTCAAGATTATCACATACTGTATACTCACCTGACGCACATCATCACTGGAACCCTACACACAACCCAACTCCCCTGGCTTCCTGCCCTAGCAAACATCAGTCCTCCACATATCTGACTGTGTGACTCAAAAACCCACAAAATGCTCAAAGTGGTCCAAACAGCTTCTCACCTGCCGCTACACAAGGACATAGTGCAGACTCCACCTGGGCCTAAGAATGGGAATCACTGGACTGCACCTACTGTATTCACATGCGCTACCCAATAACCTCTCGGTTTTCACCTTCTACAAAAAGAGTGGTCCACTCTAAAGCTGCTTTAGGATCGGTCATGGTTCCTGTCTTTCCAGCCTCTACAGATGGGCAATCGATGCAAGCCTTCTGTGTTTCTGTGGGATGAAGCAAACTATGCAGCACATCCTAGAGGACCGCCCACTCCACAGACACCACTCACCCTCAACACAGCCCAACCAGAGCCTCATGCTTGGCTCAGAGTCTTTGCATTTGCTATGTAAATAAACTGTGCTACATCTTGGTGCTTCAAAAGGGAAACAGATATTATGTTCTATAATTTGGTGTTAGAGGAGTACTTGGTTGAAAGGGTTATTTGATTTATTTCTTTCACCTTTGAATAAAATAATAATGTAATTTTGGTACACTGTACAGTATGGCATTGTAGGACAAATGTTAAATCAAATTTTACACATACATGTATATTATACATCTTTTTCAGGATGGCACAGTTCAGTGTATACCCCTTGTTTGTCCTCCTGTGACCTGCTCTAAACCTCAGATTAAAGCAGGGCAGTGCTGCCCAAAGTGCCCAGGTATGTACTCCTTAAATTGTTGATGCTTGAGAACAGAAATGATCAATCCTGGTACAGGAGAGCCAGTGTGTCTTTGGGTTTTCTAGGTCTCTACAAAGCACCAACAGCTGAAGAAGTGGAAGAAGTTATTAAATTGGTCCCATTAAGACATTAACTTAATTAAATCATTAAGCATTGAGTTAGTTTGAAAACCTGCAGGGACACTGTTCTTTGAGGATTGTGGTTGACCATAAAAACTTACTTGCATTAAGGTGCCTGCTTTTCCCCAGTAGATGTCACTATAAGGCAACACTGTTAGATAAATTATTATTGTTGTGATAGAAAAACAAGCTGTAAGAAACTCTAATATAGAAACAAAAAGAAAAAATGCAGCATGTTATATTAGGAAACCATTATAGTTTTTTTGCACTTAGTAGACATCCTTAATGAAGTCATTTGTGCTATATTGCATCGCAGATGTTTGGTTAATAAACCTGGAGTGATTTCTGTGACTTTCACTTTAGGCACTTGTTTTCAAAGCTTGCTGTCTCTAATAAAGATACTGCAATGGGTTGTTACAGGAATTTATAACAGATAATTTGTCAAGTAGTAACTCACGACTTACCAAAATTTACACTTGGTAACTCAGGAAATGTGGTAATGAATATCTGTTTCTTGGTAAAGATTTAAAAAATATTTCACAATCTACCTTTCACAATTTTTCTTTTGAATTCCATGTTTGACTTCTGATTTAATGTTGTTTTCAGTGCTGACAAACTATTTTAAGAAGAAAGGAATTCTCTAAATGCTGTTTCAAAGCTCTTTATTAGAAAATCTAGCACTATATTCTGTGTAGTCTGAAGAATTGTGCATCTAAACCTATATAATGCTGAAATACATCTTTTCTATCTATGCAATGTGTAAAGTCTGTGATTTACATTCTTTTCAGTTCATGCATTAGCTTAAATTCTGTTTTATGCCTTGTATCTTGTATTAACAAAAAAAGGTTTAATCAGACATTGTGTTGTATTGTTGTAAGCAGGGCAATAGTGCTGTTATCTGAAAAAAACAAAACAACACAGGGACTGAAATGCATGAAATATGCAACAACAAAGAGGTTGAAATGGGAAAATAAAAAAAAAACACTTGAATTACTGTGACAATAGTATATTCCCAGTACGAATGTCAAGGAAATATGGTAAAAATGCTTATATAAGTACTTTTAAATATTTCTGGATGACTACTAGTTCACAGTGGAATATGAAACCATTACTAACTTTTAGTCCATTAATGTCAGTTTTCATAATATTCTGTAAGGCATTCTGTGACTCAGTTTCATTAGACTAATTTTCTGTTGCCAAGAGTTCACATCTTGCACTCACCTTTCAATAAAAAAACATATACATAAACAACATTTAATGTATTTTTGACTTTTTAATATAGTCATTTTAATAATAACATCCAGATGAGGAATTGCTGCTTACATTTCTTATTAACCTGAGATGTGACTTTTTATAGTGAAATTTCCCCTCTGGTACAAGGAGACTTGTATTATTATATTATTAAGATCAGGTAATTGTTCTTTCTTCTTAATGTCATCTGTTTTTGATGCTTAAACAGGAATTTTTTTCTTGGTCTCTATAGTGACAAGAAAGTAACAAGGCAATGGCACATTTTTAATGTTTTGGATTTCAACATTTACATTGTGCCACTGTTTTTGCACTCAATACATTGAAGCCAATACATTTTCTTTGGCTCCATCACAATGTTTTGAGCTCAGAACACATTGCCTCCTGTAATAAGAAAAAATGTATTTGTAAGGACCTTCTTTCCAAACCAAAAGATTACTTTATGTTGTGGAGAAAAAATGTCATGCAGTTTGTTTTGCACTTGACGCCAATTGACAGAATCTTTATTATGCAGATTCCACGGCACGTTCCAGCTACTTTGTCTTTGCTTCAAATAACAGTTTCTGCTTCAGTTGTTAGAGGCAAAGTCTGCTAATGGCATGCAGGCATATTAACAGAGGTATGCAAATAAAACACAATACAGTGGGGCAGGCTGCTTGACATCCTGCTGGGCATCACGGGCAGGGTGTCTTCATGCTGAATGTACAACTTCAAAGAGTGCTCAGTGGTAGCTGTCATTTGGAACTGATGAAGAGGAAAAACACAGGAGCGTTAATTGCTGTAAATCATTTTATTGCAGTTATATCTGACTCGTCTGTCACTAAGTACCGAACAAAGAGAAAAATGGCTACTGAAAACATCAGTATTGTACAATCCAATTTTTTTAAAATTTATGTGTGAGTGCTTTTCAAGGAACTTGAGAGCACTGCACAATAGCAGACATGGACTACGCAGTAGAAACAAAAGGAAAGTGGGAACAAGAAAGCAGAGCAGCACTGCAAATTGAACTTGAAACCAAGAGTAAAGACAAATTATACATCAAAGCTTCAGGGAATTAATCTTCTATAGTATGTATTCACATTAAGAAAACATTTCTCGACCTTTCCATTACTTTCATTGGTGGTAAGAAACAGTGAAGCATGCCTTTACTATTAAAGAAGATTCCTACTGTTGTTCATTAGAATATATTCATTCATGTTGCTCTCCTGGTAATGAGGTTATTTACAACATCTCCACTGTCCATTGAAACAATCTCCATGAGTTAGGAACACACAGTATTTTCACACAATTACTGTGTATGTCTATTATTTAGCTAAAATCTTTGCATTGACAGATTGTTCATGCTGCTGAAACCATTACTAAGTACTCATGCTGGATTTTATTATTTTATGTAGGGTTGGTTTCTGAATGGCAAATCCATTCATATCCATTTATGAAACATATTTATTTGTATCTTACATTAAAGTCATGCATAGATAATGACTGTCCTCTACTGACACTTTTTCAAAATAAATGTTTTTAATTTTATGATTAACTCATAATCAGCAACATAACTA